AACAAGTGAATAATATGCTCCATCTGCGACTAGATAATACTGAAAACGCAAGTTTACGAACATTCACTTGGCGCCCTATGTACGATATCCAAGGCGCGGACTGATAACTGAAACATTCCAAGACTTTAACTTTCATAACAAAATGTACATATAAAACACTGCCTACTCTCTCCATACACACATTTCAACGTACAACGAAAAGGACTGAAGGGGGCTGCACATTTACTAGGGCTACCTCACGATTAAACCTCTACAGTATACTTGATGTTGAGCTTTAGAAGCGTTTGACAATGGCAAAATGAAAAAGTAACAAGTACTGAAAATGTAGATACAACAAAATCTTCAACAGCGGTTCATACTTAAAATTTGAAACACCAAGTAAAAATGACTGAATTAGGTTAGTACGCGACTCGGAACTGGAACCTCCCAGGCCCATGCATACGCAACTGCCTTAATAATGGTGGCGGTCATCGACTTATTCAATTCACTAAAAAATTCGCCACAGCAGCAATTCTCCAAACCACATGTCGATGACGTTAATCGCAGTACAGGTTCGTAAACAATACAATAACAGATTTATCACAAATCATTTCCAGCTTAGCAGAAACTGGAACTGTACTATCAATTAAAAAGAACAAGCACAAATTGATTCACCGCGTGTTGGACTCTGATGGAGTTTGTACCAGGAAAAACAGCATCAAGCTATAACATGGGGAGTCCGCATATTTGATAGCAACAAATTTAAGATTAGACATTAAAAAAAGAAACCAATTTTGTTTAAAAGCATATTGCAAACCATTCTTAGCTCAAGTTAGTGACACGACGTTTTTGAGCATTACTATGAATTTTAAGGCTACGCTGGCCAGCCAGCAAACCATCAGACTGCTTCAGAAAAAACCTTTTACTATTATTTACGGGACTTACGAACAATATGATCCCACAATTACATTACATGTGAAATATGTGTCACTGAACCATCAGAAGAATGGTTTGACATGATCAAACATTCTTTTAGTGTCTAACCGTCAATAAACAGGTCCCTAAAAAAAACTGCAATCACAGCAAAAGGTTTCGCTTTAACGTGCAAACGCAAATGCCTTAAGAATATAAGGCATTTAATAAAACAGCCCTTGCTGACCTACACTCTCCCCACAAAATTTGTACTGCAAGTGCAACAGTCGTACAAGCGCTGTCCAAAAAAATGACTAGTTAAGCCAGCCATTTCTTTTTCTATGAATCAACAATCACGTTCTCTTTATCCAAAACTGTCATTCCGTGCGTTTTAAATAAATAAATAAATAATTCATGTAGTTTCTATAGTACAAAAATAATTTTACAGCATTTTCTTTAGTTTTGCTACACGTAGAGTCTGGAGGTGGAAAGAAAAGGGGGGGGGGGGGCGAAGCTTTGGAAGTGGCTGACAGAGCAGCAAAAGAGACAAATAACTTGGATAAAACTATTTAGCAGATCTAATGAGATTAGGAAAGCCCGGCTTCACGGCTTGTCAACAAGGAATGTCCAAAAGATTTAAAAAAAATCAATGTATGAGACGCGCACACACACTGCTCATCAGAGAGACGCGAACACAAGAAAACACGAATTACTCTTTGTAAAGAAAAAAAATATATAATGAACGGCGCTTTGGCAAGTTTGCCGTCGACTAGGTCGTTTTGAGCAAAGCTTAAATCCGAAAAAAGGTGACACTTTCAATTTTAAAAATGGCTAGAAGGTTAATAAATGTTAAATGTTAAACAAAATTGCGGCAGCCTAGGTCGACACACCGCAAGCGCAATCCAAAATTTAAAAAGATAGGGGGTTTCCGAAACGCAGAAAAGAAAATATTGTAATGTCTGTACCAGACATCAACTCTCTCTCTCTCACTCATTCTCTCTGATGATTCAGGCGGGTTCAGTCTGTGTCCAGCAGCCTCTTCTCCGGCGTGGTAAGCGCCGGGACTCTCTGGCCGCCGGGCGAGGAAGTCCTCGCGGGCCTCGGGGGCCGGCGGTCGCACCGGCAGCCGTCGTCGCAGTACCGGGCATAGCACAGTTCAGTGGCACGCACTAGGCCCCGCAGCGGCCAGTAGCACAGCAGGCAGGGGAGGGCGACGGAGGCGACCGCCAGGCACGACCAGCGCGCACAGCGCCGCGCCCCCGCGCCCCCCGTCGCGCCCGCGCACGAGCAGGGGTCGTCCGCGCACCACACGCCCCCCTCGTCGCCGGGGTTGCCGCAGTGGTAGAACAGGCCCTTGACGCAGCACAAGCACGTCGCGTAGTCCAGCGTCGTCTCCGCCGAGCAGAAGCACGCGTCGTCGCACAGCCACCGCGAGGGCAGCGGCCGCGGCTCCCGACACGCCTCGCACCGGCAGCGCCCGCACTCCGGGCACATGATGGAGGGGGAGGGCGTCATCGGGGTGGTCGGCGTGGCGAGCAGCGCCGGGTGGAGGTGGGGGGCGGGCGCGCCCGCGGGCGGCTCCTTCTTGAAGGTGGTGGGCTGCTGCCGCACCGGGAGGGTCACGGTAGTCCTATGGTGGTGGCGGGGCTCCCGGGCGGGCGGGCAGCCCGCCGGGCTCGCCGCGGCCGAGGTCTTCTTGACGCGGCACGACGCCGCGGAGGTGCGCACGCCGCCGCCGCGGCCGCCGCCGGGTACCCGGTGGTGCAGCGGCGCTTCCACGTACTCGTTGGCCCGCCTCTCGCCGTCCGGCCTCGGCGTCGAGAGGCTCACCTCGACCTCGGGCGGCACCGCCAGCGGCGCGCCCACCGGGCTGGGGGGCAGCGCCGGCGCCGCCAGGGGGTTGGGGGGCGGCCCGGCGCCGGGCCCGGGGGTGGGCGGCAGGGGCCGCGGGGGCGGCGATGGCGTGCTCGGGGGCGGCCGGTGCACCCGCGGCAGGGCGAGCGGCGTTCCCACGGGCGTTCCCCGGGGCGTTCCCAGGGGCCGGCCCTGTGGCGGGTACGCGGTGCGGCCGCCATGGTGGGCCATGGGCTCGGCTGGCAGCAAGAGCTGCTCGCGTCCGAGCTCACATCACGCCCGCGCGCCGGTCCGCCTCCTGAAACAAACACAAACAGGTGAGAAACGTGCACACGAACAGGGACAGACACAATTTATTTCTGACGACTCACATTATAATTTTTCTGTTTTTAACAGATAGTGCCCTACGCTTAGACTAACATAAGTATAAATAGGTAAAGTAAGGTGTTAGCTAGTTATTTTTGAGAATTCTATCAGTCTTATGTCTGCTGTGAGCTTTGAGACCATTCTTACTGCAACTCTGGTCCGCTGCTCTGCCAGCGACTTCAACCTGGTTCAACCCACGGCGGGACGCATTCACCATTCCCTCTGCCGCCTACTCCTCCCTCGGACCCTCCCCTCACCGCCATTCGCGCTTCACGGCCTGGCATAACTTTCGGGACCAATAGCGATGGCTTTTATAGACGCTCTCGTCGTGGGGCTCGAACGGAAACGTCTATCGCGATTAACGTCAAGTGATGCGTCTGGCTGAAGGAATCACAGTGGGAGCAGGGAAAGGGAGGGAGGGGAAAAGAGGAGGGCGGGGGGCGGACGGACAGCGTGGTTTTGAATACCAAAAATAAAGAGGCGTTTCGTCGTACTCTCGATTTTCTCGTTCTGATATCGACGCTTGTTTCGAGACAGTAACGATCAAGCGAGAGGGCGATGCAAGCGGAGGAGTTGGTGTACGGGCGGAGGAGGGGGCCGGCAGGGGGAGGCAGGGGGGCAGGGAGAAGGATGTTGGGCGGAGAGCGACACCCACAGCAGCAGCATACATAAAAAGACCACTTCCGGCCCCGCTCTGCTCGGCTCTGCTCGGCGCTGCTCGGCTCTGCTCTCCGCTTGCGGTGGAGTAGTTCAAGTCGTGTCGCTTCCCACGCATTCGAGGGGCTGGGCCGGGCTGGGCCGAGCCGTTCAAAGTAGACCGGCACCTCCGCGGACAAGGAGGAGCGTTGTGTCAAACGCGCCGGCCCAAATAAGCCGTGTTACACACCAGACAACAGTACTTCAACTTGAATGAGTACAGCAGCGTTACAATGGAATGAAATTTAAATGAAATTTAAAGAATAAAAATAATACCATGAGGGACTGATGGAGTTGACACGGCGTGCTGCTCCAAACCCCTGCAAGCTCTACTGTACCGATGCAGGCGTGCGTGCGGGTTGCCTAATCGCAGCCGTGCAAGACGCCGCGGTCAGCGACGATGGGCACACCCGCACGCACGCCTGGCTAATCGGCCACCTGCTCTGGGGGGGTATCCAGCGACCTACAACCTAACCGAGGTCCCTCACTGGCCAATTTGCCCAAAACAAATGACTCGCGGGGCGAATTGGCCAATCAGAAGACCTCCATTAGGTTGTAGGTTGTATGTCGCTGGACACAACCCAAGTATATCGTCGTACAGTAGTGCAACACATCGGCTGGTCATGCTATGGGGACACGGCGGCACGCGCCTCCGGGCAACCCCACCCACCCACCGGGCCCTGGACCAGAGGGTGGCGCAGGTCAGGACCGCCGGGTGCGGGCGCAGGCCCCAGGGGCCTGGCCCCTGTGCGCTGCACTGCCGCACTGCACGCAATGAATGAGACAATATGAATGAGAGCGCCTGTCGACTGTAGCTCACCGGCCGCCGCACTGCCGAGCTGCGCCGAACGAACCAACGAATGAATGAATGAATGAATGGGAACCAACTGGAGCGGGAGGGACTTCCTTCGCGTCCGGCCGGAAGCGCAGTTAAGGTAGGTACGGCGGCAGCGGAAGTGGGAGGGGGCGCTGCATCGGTGAGTGCAAGGTATGCAGCAACAGCGCCGCGCCGGCGTCTCAAGCACGCTCCCATTCATTCGAGCGATTCATTCATATATTCATGGGCTTCATTTACCATGGGCTGGGGAATAAGGCAAAACGATCCCAAGAGTGCGCGCGGCGTGTCTGTTCACGCACAAGTGGCCAACGTAAGTACTATCGCGTCGTCGGCGGGCGGAATCATTTCCCGGATCGGCCGGATGGGAAGGGAGGCAGCGCACCCCCAACGTACTCGTACTCGTGCTCGTCCGTGTCGGTGCTCCTCCTGCTCATTGAGCAGCACCTGCCACGTTGGCCGGTGCCTCTGGCCGGTGCCTGCCCTGGCCTGGCCTGGCGGCGTCGCCGCGTCGGGGTATCGATGAATGGTGGAGGGACTCCCGTATTATTTCCGTCCGAGCCTCCCCCCACCCCCTTTTTTGCCTGGGTCTTAACGGCACTACCGCCCCCGCCGCCGGCCTGGCAGCGAAAGGGGGAGGCGAGGAGCGAGAGAGACAGAGAGACAGAGAGGAGGGGTGGGGGGGTGAGAGTTAGTCCTGTCCCATACAGTAAGCGTATGACAAGAGTCACGGATTTTGTCGGATTTTGTACGACTCCCTCCTCCCGACCCAAACCGCCGCCGCCCTCCCGCTCAGCTGATCGGCTCCACGCCCCTCCCCCGCGACACGCCTGGCCCAGGAGGGCGTGAGAACGGATCCTCCTCCCCTCCGAGAGCTACCGGCAGGAAACTTGAGGCAGGATGGGAGCGACACCGGGGGGAGGAAGCGGAGGGCGGTCCTGTGGGGCCGCAGCTGTGCGGGGCAAAGCACGTGGCGGCAAATGCAGTCGCGCTGTGGGAGAGACGACACGCTGATGGAGTGTGGGCAACTCGTTGAAACACTTGCAACCGTATCACATAAATGTTGTGCACTTGCAAATGTTCTTGGCGTGAGTGTGCTCTGCTTGGAAAGTTTAACATAGATAGATAGATAGATAGATAGATAGATAGATAGATAGATAGATAGATAGATAGATAGATAGATAGATAGATAGATAGATAGATAGA